GGGAATGTTGGCTCTGCCAGTACCCACTCCCCAGGAGTCACAGGTGGGGGCCCGCTCCCCGTGTACCCAGGAGGGACCCGAACTGCTGGAGGCCTCAGAGAGTCTGCCCTGTGCCCGGGCTGAGGGTGGCCCTGCCTGCTCTGCAGTAACTACCCCACCCCAGGGGGGAAGGGAGCAGCGTGGCCTTGTGAGATGAAGAAACCCTGCCAAAGTGACAGAGCAGCCCCAGCCAGTCTGGCTCAGTGGATAGAGTCCTCAGGTTCGATTCTGATCAAGGGCATTCTTCCCCGGCCTGGGCCCTGGTCGGGGCGTGTGCAGGAGGCAACCAATCAATGTGTTTCTCTCACATCGATATTTCTCTGTCTTTCCCTCTCTCTTCCACTCTCTCTCTCTCTCAAAAAAAAAATAAAATCAGTGGAGAAATATCCTCAGGGCCCCTTTGCATCGAAGGACAGGACTGCAAAGGGGTGGATGCCAAGGGTCAGGGTAGCTTGAAGGGCAAATCAGGGCAAGGCAGTCTCCTGCACAAATCCCTTGAGAGCCTTGGGACTGTGGGGAGGACAAACTCCGCACCTGCTGTGGCCTGTGGGTCCCCGTGGGGTCGTTCTCTACTCCTGTTTGCATCTTTTTCACCAGCTACTCTCACCCTCGAATGCTCTTCCCCTTAATCCCCACATGGCTCCCTCCTTCTCAACTCAGTTATCTCCTCAGGAAAGCCCATTCCTCACCATCCCACCCAGAGGAGGTCCACGGAGACCTGCCTCAACTCTCTATCTTTACCCATTTTCTTTTCTTCAGAGCACCTACCCTGGCCCAGAATTATCTCATTTACTAGCTCATTTACTATCCTTTTCTCTAAAGGTGTCTTAGCTGTCTCCTGACAGGAATGTCAAGTCCCCGAGGGCAGGAGTCCCTCCCTGTTTGTCATTGCTGTGTCTCCAGATGCCACCACATTCAGGCACCCGGACTTGGTACTATTTATTTATGAAGTGTGCCCGGCCAACATGGCTCAGTGGTTGAGTGTTAACCTATGAACCAGGTGGTCATGGTTCGATTCCCGGTCAGGGCACATGCCCGGGTTGTGGCTCAATCCCCAGTGGGGGGCATGCAGAAGGCAGCCGATCAGTGATTCTCTCTCATCGATGTTTCTATATATCTCTCTCTCTCCCTTCCTCTCTGAAATCAATAAAAATATCTTTAAAAAAAAAGAAGAAGAAGGGGAGAAGGCAGGTGGCAAGCCCGGGGGCAAATAGGACTCTCTCCCCGTCCCCCCCGTCCCCATCATCTTCTAATGCAGATGCTGGAGTCAGGGTCCCCCATGAGGGTCCTTCTGCGTGAGCCGGGCACCCTCAGTCCTGGGCAGGTGCGGACCCCTTACAGCCCAACAGAGGGGGAGATCCCGAATTATACAAATACCGAGAAGGGGGAAGTCGTTTTTCTCTGGAAGCCACAGCAATTTATGACTATTCCAAGTGCGGTGCGCGGGCAGGCCCGGGTTATAGTTGTGCCGGTTGTAATGGTCGTCGTACGAGCTGATCAGGTAGCGGTGCGAGGGCTCCTGGTGGTGGGTGATCAGGTGTTTGTACGGGAGCCCCTGGAAGGACAGACACGACGGGCATGTGACTGAGGGAGCAAGGCCTCACCTGGCCGTGGACGGAGGCAGAGTCGCCGGCCTTGGAGGTCCGTGGAGCTGCCGGCCAGGGGGCCTCCACGGGCGCCGGCAAGCGTGGGCTCTCGGAGCCACCGAATAGGAAACACACTCGTCTGTCCTGACCCAAGACAGCTCACCTTCCAGCACCGGTCTCAGCTCGGCTGCCGTGGGTTCCCATAGGAGTGGTCCCCAGCCTCTGCCAAGTCCCTGAGTTCCGAGGATGCCCCCGACTGGGAAGAGCCGGCGCCACCTCACTGCCTGCCCCTGGGATCTGAAGTCAGACACTGTCTCATCCACCGAGTGCCTGTTTCCAAAGAAGATGCGGACCGCGGGCCTGACGCATGCACCTTGTATTTCATCGGTTCCTATGGGGAGAGTCAGAGACGCCCCAGACCTGCTTCTCCTGCCCGGGGTTTATGGCGACCTCGGCTGGACACCTGGGGAGGGGTTTCTCTGCTGGGGAGCGATTGAGGGGAGAAGAAAGCGATTGATGGGGAGAAGAAAGCCGTATTCTCCTCGCCCTGGGACGTTTGCCTGAATCAGTGCTTTTCTTAAGGAAGTCCTCTTGGCCTGGACGGGGGTGCTGGGGGCTGGGCTGATTTACGGGGGAGGATAATGCTGATTACCATGCCGTCCTCTTGTCTGGAGCAGACAGGGAGGCCTGTGTCTGCCCTGGTCTGGAAATGCTGGCTGCACCCGATATTTCAAGTGGTGGTTCCATAAATAAGTCAGATCACAATGCCAGAGGGAGGCAGGGGGCTGGGCACAGGCGGGGAGCAGGGGTTCCCAAGGTCTCCCTCGCCAGGCACCCAGAGTGTTCCCAACGCCAGGGAAGGCCAGTTAAAGAGGTTCCCATCAGCCGAGGGGAGGAAAGGAGAGAGCCCCCGACGGCGTCCCTCCCGTCTCCTCCCCGCTCCCCCGCCCCCCGAATTTCCGTGCTGTTCCTCTTGGTTTGGGGCTCGGCCCTGCTGTCTTGATTATGTTCCCAGGACTTTTGTCTTCATCAGGTAGGGTAGGTAAGGTGACAGAGAGACAACTGCCTTTGAAAGAAGAGCTTACAGGCCCCAAAAGGAGGGGGCACCATGCCATACAGGGCCACCAAGCAAAGCAGCAAGATCGGTCAGAGGCAGGAGAGGGAGTATGGACAGAGAGTGGGCCAGGCAGGGTAGGCAAGTTTCAGAAGTTGAGGATTGCATAGGTTTTTTGTTTGTTGGTTTAGGATTGCAGAGTTTGAATCATTTCAGACGGCTCTGGGCTCCGGGAGTGCCTCTGGTTGGGGGCACCTGTCCTTGGAGTAATTTAAGGTGGGGGATACTGTTTTGGAGAGCGAGTTTAGATAAAGAAGGCTGGGGGGGCTCTGGAGTGTCGGTTTGCTTCTGAAAGGCATGATGAGAGCCAGCTGTTCACTGTCTCAAGGAATTAGCCAGCCCTGGGAGGGCAGCTCTCTGGGATCAGCAAGGCCCTAGGGTAGCAAAGCATCCTCAAATAGAAAAAATGAAAAACGGGATCCATACCCCTGCCTGGGAGGGAAGCACAAGAAGGGGGTCCTCCCCGTAACCTCATAACCTTGTCTGCCCATCGGCAACTTGTAGCGCCGTGAGCATTTGCCTAAGACGGGGGAGAGGTGGGAAGGGCGATGGGAAGAGTCCTGGGGGAGGAGGTGGGGCCGAACGAAGCAGAAGGATGAGCGGATGTGTGGAAGCAGCCACGCGAACAGGCCATTAAAAAAACAGAGTCCGTGGGAACGCGCGTCCGAACACCTGGGCTCTGTTTAGTGCGTGTGTTGGGGGCGGGGGGCTTGTCTTAATTTTAAGGACTGCGTGTCTGGGTGGTTGGCCCTTCGTCAGGGTTTGCAATGGTCCAAGGCCTTTAAGAAAGGGCGGCGCGGGCCTCGTGTGCACGGGTGGCTGGGGACTGGGAGCCCCGGGGGTGGGCTCTGGTTTTTGCCTCCTTGTATTGAGATGCAGTTGTGAGTCCTCGGTGCACACTAACGGTAAAGCGGGCAGCCCGGAGCAGCAGCGTGGTCTGAGGGTGTCAGCATGGTCCAGGGCTTGCCAGACCGGTCTAGGGGTACCAGCCCGATCTAGGGATGCCAGCCCAGTCCAGGGGTACCAGCCCGATCCAGGGGTACCAGCCCGATCCAGGGTGCCAGCCAGGTCCAGGGTGCCAGCCCGGTCCAGGGGTTGTCAGCACAGAGCGGAGACTGTGGTGCCGTTCATGCTGACACGGATCCCCAAAGGCAGAAGACAACTCGAGCCAGTGATGAAGGGCACTCCCAGGACACTCCTGCTTCACTCTCAGAGCAGCCACCTACGTGGTCCCTTGCCAACAGACAAGACACTCGCCGCCCCTGGCACCTTTTATGGGAAAATGAGGGTGCCGAGCTCAACAATATCTCTTCCAGCTTCAAAATGCACCCCATCTGACAACTGCCCACTCCTCGTTCTGTGCCTCCTGCCCTGCCCCGCATTCAGGCAGGTGTGGGGTCAGGGAGGGGTGATGGGAAGGGGGTGACCTGAGGGCACAGTTCTCTGCTCCCCACTCCGCAGGCCTGGAACACGACATACCACAGACACCCGGTGACTGAGGGGGCGCTGAATGGTCATTGACTTTTTTGGTCACTTACTTTTTACCCAAAAGAGCAGGAAACTGGAGCTGAGGTGACACAAAGCACTGTCATCTACACATCACCTCCACTTGGTTTTGGAGTACCTTATGTGATTCTTCCCTATAGTCACCTCACTATCATCACCTGAGCTCAGTATTAACCATGCCTGTCTGTTTCCTCCATCCTTTGCCCGTGTCCTGTTGGATAAGTGGGAAGGAATGGGGAAATGGCCCAGGGAAGTGCTGGGATCCAAGGTGGGGATGCTACCAGCTCCAGGTCAGAGGGATCTCTGCTCCTCAGGACATAAAGGTGAGTGCCGTCGGCAGCCGCGGGGCTGGGGAGGGCCCTGATGAGCCTACTCCTGTGTTCCCAAGAGGGAACCGGGCTGGCGGGGTCTTCTGAGCCTTGGGGAGGGGCCCAGCCTGAACATGGGACCCCCACTCCCTCTTACTTCGATTCTCCTCTTTCCATACCACCTAGAGATCTGGTCCGGTCTGTGGCCGAGGAGAGGGACGTACCCTTTCCTGTAGGTGCTCTGGGGGGTCTTGTCAGTGTCTCTGACGAACTGGAAAAGATCAAATATTCAAGATAACTTCTGCTGCGACTCCTCACCTCCTGGGCCAAGGGACGCTGGGCAGAGAAAGGGTACATTGGGACTCCAGGGCATCCTGCATAACCCAGGCTTTTGTCCCCATCCTTCCAGGATTGGGAAAGGAGTGTGCACCCCACCGCTCAGGACCCCCAGGAGAAGCTGGTATTGGTGTCACCCAACACTTCTCATGGTCGGCATCTGTTCCCTCTCTCATCTCCTCTCTCCCTGATGCTCTCTCTGCTTGCCTCCTCCCTTTCTTTTTCTTCTTTGTTCTCAGTCTTTCCAACTCACTCTTTTCTCCCTTGCTATATTATGTTCTTTAAAAAAAAATTTTTTATTGATTTCAGAGAGGAAGGAAGAGGGAGAGAGGGACAGAAACATCAACAATGAGAGGGACTTATCGATGGGTTGCCTCCTGCACGCCCCACACTGGGGACCGAGCCCACAACCCGGGCATGTGCCCTGACCTGGAATCGAACCGTGACCTCCTGGTTCATGGGTTGACGCTCAACCACTGAGCCACGCTGGCCAGGCTATTATTTTTTCTAGTTTATATTTTAAAAATTCATTGTGGTAAAATATACATAATGAAATTTACCATTTAACCATTTTTAAGTGTACACTTCAGTGGCATTAAGGACATTCACATTATTGTGCGACTACCATCACCACCATCCATTTCCAGAACTTTTTCATCATCTCAAACTGAAACTGTCCCCATCCAACAACTCCCTTCCCCCGCTCCCCCTAGTTCCTGGCACCAACCATTCTTCTACTTTCCATCTCTATGGATTTGATTACTCAAGGTACCTACTGTAAGTACAGTCGTACAGTATTTGACCTCTGTGACTGGCTTCTTTCACTTAGCATAGTGGTTCACAGTCCTGATTGCCAAAAACGAAGATACTCAACTTTAAATAGGCCAATTCAGGCCAAGTACCATCTATTGTAATGGCCTTCAAAGTCCATGGAAACACATCAGCCCATTTGTTCTGTTTTGAAAGTAAAAATTGAAATGCAGCCTTAGCCGGTTTGGCTCCGTGGATAGAGTATGAGCTTAAGGACCAAACGGTTCCAGGTTCAATTCTGATCACGGGCACATGCCCGGGTTGCGGGCTCTGTCCCCAGTTAGGGGCGTGCAGCAGGCAGCCGATCAATGATACTTTCTCATCATTGGTGTTTCTCTCTCTCCCTCTCTCTTCCTCTCTGAAATCAATAAAATTATATTTAGTGCCTATGGTTTCTTCTAGGACTTAAAAAACAAAACAAAACTGAAATGCACAGGCAGGGCAAGGTTGTGGAACAGGTGCCAGAGAACAGCAGCTCGTCCCAGACATGACTGCAGGGATGTCCCGCCTGCCTTGGCAGGTACCACGTTCTGGTAAGGGCCAGGCCAGGGAGAGCAGACATTCTTCAAATCAAGGGGCAGAGAAATTAGGAACGGGAAACATCAGATGCCTAGAAACACCCCACTGAAAAGACTTCTGGGAAGCACAACTATATTGACACATCTGCTATGGTGCTTTCAAGATGGGTTGGGGGCGAGGGGACCTTGATAATGGCTTGAATGTAACTCCCCGATGTAACACACACAGACACGCTCAGGCCCTATTCTTAAAAGGCAACCATCTATGGCCCTTAATTTGACTATAGTAATGACTGCACTCCTACCTCTCCCTGCCAGACCTCCCCTCTGAGCCCTCTGTCCGCCCTCTCTCTTTCCTTACCTTCCTCCTCTCTTCCACCCAGTTTCCAGTGAGCACTCTGGTTGAATACTTGCTCTCGACCTTCCAGCTTGGAGTATATAATGACTGTGGACTTGCTGCAGTCGAAAACTGCATGGTAAGGATTCACCCCAGGTTTCTTTGACTTGACACCGTTTTAGGTGTCGGGAGCGGGGATATTATGAAGTTGCTGAGTTTGGGGTGCCTTTTTTTTTTCTTCTCTGACACCCTTCTGAGTGAGTTGTAGATGACAGCCTGCCAACCTCACAGAGTAAAAGGGCATTGAGAGTCTACTTTCAGTTTCTAGGTCACTTGATCTTGGATTCCGTATTGTTGACTGTCACCATGGTGATAGACTGAGTATAAATACTCTCCTGGCCCAGCCAGTGTGGCTCAGGGCTTGAGTATCGACCCATAAACCACAAGGTCGCTGGTTCGATTCCAGGTCAAGGCACAAGTCTGGGTGGTGGGCTTGATCCCCAGTAGGGGGTGTGCAAGAGGCAGCCGATCCTTGATTCTCTCTCATCATTGATGTTTCTATCTCTCTCTCCCTCTCTCTTCCTCTCTGATGTCAATACAAATCTAATTTTTTTTTAAATAAAAAGGAGAAATAAGATCTTAGTATGGATGGTAGACACACAATATACAGATGATGTAGCATAGAATTGTACACTTGAGATATATATAATCTTATTAACAAACTAGAGGCCCGGTGCACCAATTCGTGCACGGATGGGGTCCCCTGGCCTGGCTGGCGATCGGGGTCGATTGGGTCCAGCTGGGTAGGGGGCGGGGGATGGGGAGGACCGCAGGAGGTTGGCTGTGAGAGTGCACTGACCACCAAGGGGCAGCTCCTGCATTGAGCATCTGCCCTCTGGTGGTCAATGTGCATCATAGTGACTGGTCGACCGGTCATTCAGTCAACTGGTTGTAACGGTCGCTTAGGCATAGATAGATAGATAGATAGATAGATGTCACCCCAGTAAACTTAATTTTTTTAAAAATGGAAAAATGTCAATGGCTATTCCATTATATCATCATTGGAAATACAATACTACATAAATATTAATATTTATTTATAATCCCTTAAATTAAATTGGCACGTCCCTTGAGTAATAAATAATTATTAAGAGAGCGGTTTTGGCCCTGACCGGTTTGGCTCAGTGGCTAGAGTGTCAGCCTGCGAACTCAAGGGTTCCAGGTTCGATTCCAGTCAAGGGCATGTATCTTGGTTGTGGGCACAACCCCAGTGGGGAGTGTGCAGGAGGCAGCTGATCGATGTTTCTCTCTCATCGATGTGTCTAACTCTCTATCCCTCTCCCTTCCTCTCTGTAAAAAATCAATAAAATATTAAAAAATAAAAAAAAGAAAGTGGTTTTGACTTTGCAGTTTCCCTGAAGGAGGTTTGGGGATCTCCAGGAAATTTTCCATCACTTTATTTTAAATACTGCTTCTTCCTCCTTCCTCCTTTCTTTCTTTCTGGGACAGCAGTTACATCTTTGCTGTGGCTTCTCACTGAATCCTCGCGACTCCTGCCCACCTCTTCTGCATTCTCTATTCTTTGGTCTCTCTGCTTGATTCTGAATCAACCCTTCCGACCTATATTCCAGTTACCTATCCTCTCTCGTGTGTCTAAGGTGACTAAACACATCCTTGAATGTTTCATTTGATTTGTTGCATTTTTCAGTTCTAAAATGTCTGTGTGTTTTGTATACATGATATACACACACATATATAATGTTACTTTTCATAGTTTCAAATTTTTGTTTTTTTTAGCCTTCTGAATTTTCAGATTACCTATCACATTTTGCCTTCCAGATTTTCAAGTGTATGGAATTATAAATCCGCAGGTTAATAGATTATATTTACAAATATAGTCTATAGATGTTATCTCCTTGGACATAGTGAACACAGCTATTTTACAGTCTGTGGTTCTGTCCCCCCCCCCCCTTTCTTTTTTTTAATGGTTGTTTCTGTGAGTTTTGACTGCTAACACTTCTCAGATGCCCGGTATCTGACAAATTATTTGCAAAAATAATGGGAGGCCTAGGATGATATTATCTTTCTCCAGCGATGACTGGCTTTTGTGTTTTCGGTCATCCATGGACATTAGAAACAGGGCCCCTTTAAGCCAGTCTAGGGGCAGGCATGTCGGCCATGGCATGCTCACAACTCCATGTGCTCAGTGCTGATCTCGAGGAGCTACAGGGCGCCCTGAAGACTCACCGCGGGGTTTCACCCTCTGGGGGAGGGAGGCTCTCCAGAGCAGGTAGTGCCTACAATGAGACCTGGGGGGTGAATGAAGCATTGACTTCTTCTCTCTGGTCTCCTGTGGCCTGGAAACACTTCTTGGAGATGGCCAATCAGCTTGGGGTTGTTGCACAAGGAACCCAATGGTGGTGGGCGGTGCACTTGGAACTCAGACACACTTGGCTTCAACTTCCAGTTGCACCTCTCACCCAGGCCCTTGGCCAAGTCAACTGTGGTTTCCTAATCTATAAATTGGGAGTAAACACCTTATACGTACTTCGTCAGATTGTGAGAATTCAGTGACCGATCAAGCATTTGAAAAATGCCTGTCACATCTATGGGGTCAATAAATGTTCCATCCTCTCTTCCCCACATGCCTGAACCAAGTTTATTTTAATAACAAAATCCATTCCTTCCTCTATATTAAAGGGGTATATTTGGAACATTGGGGCAGCAATATCCCAAAAGGGGGTAATTCTAGATTCTTTTTGAATAGAGGGTTCCTGGACACGAAAGCAATTTGTTATTCTCACCAGATACTTAGGGCTCAAGATTTAATAAAACACCCCCCCCCTCCATGCACTTGATGAGATTATCCCCATTTCAAGGAAAGAAAACTGAGGGTCTGGAGATGAAGTAAACTGTGGGGCTCTAATTGGCTCTAGACCACAAGTCCTTCATCCCTCTGCCTCCTGGGGGAAGCCTTGTGACACAGCAGCAAACCCAGAATGTGTCTTTTCAACTTAAAATTCATCTGTCCTTCCAGGAAATTGTTTCATAGTGATGGAGATGGGCCCTTGAAGGGTTTTGCCTATGATGAAATATTGCTTTGAAACTGAACCCCAGGCGCTTCCTCATCATATTCAACCTTGTCCTATAATTTGCAAGACACCCAGCGGCAATGTTAGGATAGTGATGCGCTGGCCAGGGAACAGAGCAGGCCCTGGCCACCTTCGGGAAGGAGGAGCCACTTTGGGTAGATGGAGGTGAGGATGTTAGAGGCAACAACCCAGTAAGACTGCAGCCTGATCTGACTCCTTCACTGATTCTTGCAGAGTTTCATTTGAGCTAAGGAACTTCCCTTCTAAAATACAGACATGCCATGTCAACTCGGTCCCACCCTGTCATTTGTCAAGATAATCCATTTTCTTTTTGCTTTTGGGATTGGTGATCATGATCCAACTACTTCCCTCCCAGCTGAGATCTGCTGAATAAAAGGGAATGGGATAGACATTTTGGGAGAGTCCATCAACTTTCAAAATGTGCCCATAAACTAAATATATATATATATATAATGTGCCCAGCCACCAATCCTTCTTGGATCTATCACAGAGAATCACACGTGCCGAGGGGGTGCAGAAATGTTCACTACAGACTTGTTTGTCTGTAAAAAACTGGAAAGAGTCCAAAATGTGTCCTCCGGCGGGAATGTCTAGGAACTGTAATGTGGCCAGACCATGGAATATTACGCAGCAGCTAAAAAGAAAGAGGCAGCTAGATTTCTACTATTCACTAGGCTAGATTTCTAAGATCTATTGAGGGGGGAAACCCCAGTGGCACTACTTGTATAGAATTATTATTATTTTATGTACCAATGTAAGGCAGTCATCCCACAAAATAATACTCTATATATTTTCTTTGGGTACATATATACCTAAGTATATACAAGCATCGAAACAGGCTTTGAAATATTGGAAGATCCTAGTATCCCCTCCCCCCAACAGGAACAGATAAACAGTAATGAGTTGCAGGAGAGTCATCAGAAAGGACTTTGCCTTATTTCTAGTATTTGAAGGCTTTATTTAAAAACTAGAGGCCCTGTGCACAAAATTCGTGCACCGGCAGGGGCGGGGGTCCCTCAGCCTGGCCTGCACTCTCTCACAATCCAGAACCACTGGCTCCTAACTGCTTACCTGCCTGCCTGCCTGATGGCCCTAACTGCTCTCCCTTGCCAGCCTGATCCCCCTAACTGCCTATCTGCTCTCCTTTCCTCTCCACACCCTTCGGACCTCTAGTGCAGACATGCTGAGAGCTATCCACCGCAGCCCCGCCCCCATCCTGATTGGTCATTATATGATGGCACCTGGCCAATTAACATATTCCTCTATTATTAATATAGATATTTATGTATCACTTAGGTAACTTAAAATTAACTTTTTAAAAGATAGAATGGAAGTGGAAATATGATGCAAAGTCTGGCAGGTGTCATGTTGACCAAAAATATCTACTGCCCTCTGTCCTGTCAATGTCAGCCTTGGCCACATGACTTGCTCTGGCCAATGAAAGGTGAGCAGGAACCATGAGCCTTACTTCTAAGCAGAAGCTTTGGGATTCACCAGGTCCTTTTCCCTCTGCCATGAGACCAGAGATGTTTCAAATAGAGGCTGTTCCATCAACCTGGATCTCAGAACAGACAGACACACGTGATATAGAGCTGCCGTCAACCGGTGAGGGCTGAGTAATGAGTAACGTGAGAAAGAAATAGTCTTTGGCTGTCATAAGCCACTAAAGATGGTGGGGCCATTTGTCACCACAGCAGATCTGAACCTCTACTAGCCTATACTACTAGCTCAGGAACAAGAAGGGAGGCCAAGCAGTCATTCTGAAACAGAGAGTGCAGGGGGGATGGAGGTGGGGAGAGGAAGATGAGGTTTGGGATCAGAAAGGCAGAGAGGTTCTGGCGGGGGCGGGGTGAGGAGCACCTGAGGAGGACACTGGGGGAAAGAGACTAATTTTGCCAATTTTTCAACTTTTGCCCTCAGGCATTGTCTGAAATTGCCTGCTCCTGACCAAAGACAGCAATTTGGGCTGCAACTCATTGTCCTTTAGCAGATGGCATGTGCCCTGGGCTACCTGGCAGATCTTTC